TCACCAGCCGCTCCTAGGAAACTTGAAACAGGGTCGCTATGAGTCAGAACTGACTCTATGGCACTTAGCAACAATGTTGATAGAGAAGGAACAATTTGAGAAAGGAGGGTGAGAATGGTTACACAACTTGAAAAATGCAGTCAATTGAATTGTACATGTAGAAATTGTTCAGTGGGTGTATGTTCTTCCGTATGTATTCTCAACAACAAAAATAATAATAATTACTTTAATAAAAAAAAAAAAAAAAAGACGCCATAGATGGAGGCACTGATGATGACGTGGAAAGATGGAGCAGCTGAGGACTTTAGACCCAGAGAGGGAGAGGGGCTGTGTGCTGACAACGGGGTGGCAGGCTTGTAGGGTGTACCCTTTGGTTGGTTGATGATGCATGGCGGGGATTGTAACCATGGCAATGAAATGGCATACTATAGGATAAATGTAAAACTAATGTTCCCTGATGTAAACTATCACATAATTCACAAAAAAACATTTTTTAAAAAACAGAAAAGGAAAAAAAAAAAAAAAAGGCTTGTGAATAGCCATCTGAGATACAACTATTGTTCTCTGCATCTGAAGCAAAGGAGAGTGAAGGAAACTAAAGACTCAGGGGAGGAATTAATCCGCATGACTAAGGCCCATGAGCACCTCAGCATCTTCTAGTCTGAGGCCAAAAGAACTAGGTACTGCCTGCTTACTATTGCTGACTGTTCTGGCCAGGAATACTATATAAGGACCTGGTCAGATTGGGAGGGAAAAAATGTAGAACAAAACTCAAATTACTAAAAAAGATAAGACTTATTGGACCAATAGGGACTACAGAGCCCCTAAGACTATTGTCCTAATACCATTTGAACTTGGAACTGAAGCCACTCCCTGTGGTTATCTAATAGCCAAATAATAGATTGGCTTATAAAATAAACAATGTCACTCGTGAATACTGTGCTTCCTTAAGATAATCAAGTATATGAAACCAAATGGTCAACATTCACCCTGAAACAAAGATGAGATGCTAAGGAGGCACATGGAAGCTGGCTTAACAGAAACAGAACAAAAGGAATGGAAATAGTATGAATATTGACACATTGTGAAAAATGTAACCAATGTCATGGAACAAGCTGTATAAAAAGTGTCAAATGAGAACCTAATTTGCTATATGAACTTTAAAAACTATATTTTATTTTGTTTTAGGTTAAAGTTTGCACTGTAAAACACTATCCTGCAAAATGTTCATTGAAGAGGTGCAGTATGTTCAGAAAAAAACTGCATACATCATTATCCTCTTGGAAATAAATACATGATGCCAGTAGCAAGTTCTGGACTCTGAGAAAGTAATGAACCTATTCAACTCTGCTTAACTCACTGTTTCGTAAATATTTAATCCTAGAACCTTTTAATCTAATTTGTTGTTAACTGCTGTTGAGTCCATTCTGAATTTGTATAGGGTTTCCAATGAACTGCTGACTTCGCAGTTAGCAGTCCAGTGCCTATCCTACAGTGCCACAATTAACATCCCATAAAGTTAGTATGCTAAGGGATACGCTTTGGGAACTATTGAACTAAGTGAGGAGGAAGAGGATACTGCCAGTGGAAATTCTGTCCGAAGTATTAATACATGTAGTAATTCATTTAATCCTCACAAAAAACCTATGGCATAGATACTAGCATCATCTCTCCATAGAGATGAGAACACTGAGGTACAAAGAGGCTAAATAACTTGACCCAAGTCACAGAGCTAGTAAGTACTGGAGATTGTGAGCTCCTCAAACACAGAGAGCAGGCATCAATGTACCTTAGGGTACTCAGCATTTAACACATTTAACACAGTGCCTGGCACATGTTATGTACCCAGAAAGTGATAAATGTATTGCCAATCTTATGGAAATCCATAAAAAGAAATGGTGATTAAAATGTGTTGAGTAGCACGTTTGAGACCTTTAAGTTTTATTTACACAAGGCGGTACGCCCTCATAAATCAAGATTTCTATGTGTTCCAGACAAGAATATACTAGCTAATGTTTCCACTAGAAACCATTTTGTATAGTATAACTATTTTCACATTTTATTTAATGTATTCTACTTTAGACTAATGCAAAGATGATAGGAAAAGATCAGATAGTGCAGAGCCTATTAAGCCACAAGAAATAATATTTCATTTGAAGGTGCATTAAATTGGGCTTTTAGCACAACATAAAATATTCTGAAAGAGGCAATATCAGCTCGCTCCATAAGGAACCACCAATTGGTAGAATGGATGGATTTTTTTTTTAATGCAGTATAATAACAGCTATTGAGAATAGTCAATAGCAGCTTTTTAAAATATTGCAAATCTAAAAATACGTCAAGGTCAAAATTAGTAAGTAAAACACTGGTGGATTTTCAGAGTAGATTTGAGGGAGGCCAGGGAGCATTAAGGGGAAAAAATCCACACAGTTTCAGCTTCCTAAAAGGGAGAGAAGCAAGGGCAGCCTGAGAGGAGACTATGTATTTGTTTCCTGCAAAATAAAAAGGAAATTTTATGGTTAGTTCTTCAGGAGCTTCCAATGCAGTGATTAAATGGTATTATTTCTCCTCATAACTTTAACATAAAGTATTCCTGAATAATAATTATTACAATGATTAACAATTAACGAGGGCTTACTATGCTGTTTTAAGCATCTTGTGCATGTAGCCCTATTATTATTATTCCCATTTTACAGATGTGGGAATGCAGGCACAGAGGGGTAAAGTAATTTTTCCATGATCACTCAGCCAGTACAAGGTGAATGAGGGATTCAAAGTCCAGCAAGTTAGCTTCAGAAAACATGCTACATTGGATATAAGAGAAGGTTCATATATAGGAGCTTGAAAGAGGATATACCTTTCCTGCAAACACAGCTATGAGTGTGGTGGAGCATGTTGTTGCTGTTGTGAAGTGCCGTCAAGTCGGTTCTGACTCATAGTGACCCTGTATACTGTTTCCAAGGAGCAGCTGGTGAGCTTGAACCACCGACCTTGCAGTTCAAATGGCTTTGCAGTCTGATGCATTAACCCACAATGCCACACCAGGGCTGTGGTGGAGCATACAGCAGGCAAAATTATGAAAACTTCGTAGATATATTATCAACCATCTTAAGGCAATGAATTGCTGGGTCTGAGAACTCAGGACCATAGTCTCAAGGGACGCCATGGGCAATTGGCATAACATAGTCCACAAAGACAATGTTTTACATTCTAGTTTGGTGAGTAGCGTCTAGGATCTTAAAAGCTCATGAGTGGACATCTAAGATCCAGCTATTGGTCTCTCCATGGACAGAAAAAAGAAAAGTGATGAGAATTGAAGATGCTTGAAAACAATTATTCCAATGGACTGATGGAACATGTGAACATCAGTCTCTCTATGACTCTGAAACCAGAAGAACTAGATGTGCCCAGCTACCACTATCAACTGCTCTGAAAGGGATCACATTAGAAGGTGCTGGATAAAGTGGGAGAAAATGTGGAACAAAACTCAAAATTATTGAAAAAAAAAAAAAAGAATAGACTTGCAGAAAGAGACTGGAATCCGAGACTATGGCCCTTGAGCACCCTTCAGGTCTGGAAAGGTACTCACCCTCATGGCTCAATTTCAGCCAAGTAGAAAGGTACATAGTGTGGACAACAACATTAATAAAGTATGTTCACCATGGGATGGTCAATATTTACCTAAGGACAAAGTTGAGAAGGGATAGGATGGTGGGTGGAATGGCAATAGGAATCACAGGGAGGAAGTGGGATGACTCTTGTTGCATGAGGGGGATTACAATCATTGAAATGATTTGTTGAATGTTAAAACTGATGATCCTGTCTGTAAGACTTCACTCAATTCATATTAAGAAGGTTTTTAAAAAAAAAAAGAAGAAGAAAAAGATTCAAAGGTTCAAAAATACCCACAGGTCAGGAACACAAGATCATTTTCACGACCAACCAGGGAATGTCAGAAACTCATTGGGGGAACACCACAGGGCTCAGCATGACAATGTGGAGTTAAACATTTGCCAAATGCACAAGTGCTTCCCTGGTAGTTAGTTCAGTGATAAGTTTCCAGAGGTTGTTATGCATCTTGCCACTTAAAAACCCCATCAATTTAAGGATATGCATTAGTCATGACAGGGAAATTGCTGTCCTTCTACCCACCTCCACCACTGAGGTGTGCTGGGATTTCTAAAACCCTTAAAAACACACTTACAACCTGGCTGCACATCTGCCCCTCCAATATACAGTCCACCACTCATGAATATGTTTATGCCATTATGGTGCATCAGACCTAAAATATTCAGCAACTGCTGCATGTCCTGTAGTTTATACTCAGAAGAGTTCAAAGAAAATTTAAAAGTTTAAAAGTTTCTTTGAACAAAGCAAAGATTGGCTCCATGTTGATAGAATTTTACAATTAAGCGTTGTTATCAAAAAGGCCCAAAGGAGGAGCTTCTTCAGAGTCCAGCATAGAGCCATTAAGAGAAACAATGCATAAAGTAGTAACTGCGTCAAAATGAATACTAAATGTTATTTTCATAATCGTATTTTTTAATCAAAATGTCTGTTTCCTCTTCCTCTTTTTGTGGGTAACACTTAAGTCAGTTTAAACAACCAAAGAATTTACTTGCTGGGAGGGCTTAAGAAAAATAGTAACAAATGAAGAATACTTGAGTGCAAAAGGATGTTATTTAAAGCAAGGTGGATTTTAAACAGATGGGTCAATAAACTCAACTGGACATGAAAACAGAAACTGAAATTGTAATTTGCTATATTTGCGCAGATGCTAATTCTCATTCATAAGTTTTGCTTGTCTTGAAATTCAGAACAATTAAACAAAAACAGTTTCTCCTTTCTCAGTTGTACCTTACAAATCTTGTAGAGAACTTTTCTTTACTTCTGGAAGTTCACCATTAGGTATGGGTGAACAGTGTCAAAAAGTACGATGTATTAAGCAAACAGGCTAGAAGTTGCAGAGCTGATGTTAAAACGTAAATGTGCCTACTTACCTGGATGGCTCTGACATTGGAAACTGGCTGTTTCGACATATTCACCTGGTCTTAGCCCTAAAAAAAAAAACAAGGAAGAAACTGTTAGAGGTGGTGGCATTCAGATTCTCCATCTTGATATATTAGAATTTAACTCATGATTCCACTGGGCAGTCACCCCTTTCACTGGCCATATATTCTTTCATTCTCAGTTTCCAACTGAGACTCTCCTTGTTACATAGAGACTCTCCTTATTAATGCCTTAGGGAGAGGCAACACTAGAGCCCCCAGATAAATCATTCAGGAGGAGAAACGCTGAGATGCCTTGCCCCGATGCTAATGATAGGCAATCAGAAACTTGAAAGGCCCTATCATCTCCCTCCCTGCCCTTCTGACCCTGTGAGAGTTGCAAAGAGGTTGTAGGAAATCAAACACCGCTGGTCAGGCCTCGGAAGCTTTCTGTCCGAAACTGAACTTTTGATCTGAATTGGTTATTGCATGGACTGCTAGGGAGTCCACTGGGAGCACCTCCTCCTCAGCTTTGAACACCTGAAAAGCAATAGTCTGAGCCAGTGTCTTAGTCCTGCTGAGCTCCTTATTCCATGTGTGTGTGTTCTGCACAGCAAACCGAAGGGATGCTTTGATACAACTCGGTATCCTATGCGGCCTCAGAAAGGACCTTGCCCAGTGCGCAGGCTCAGTAAATACAGGCAGATGGCAAGCATCACCTGTCTTCTTTTCTTTTAACAAAACCGTCTCCAAAGGTAATAAGACTTGCATGGCCATGCCGGATCCCCAGGATCTGGAAGCACTTCGGTCCGAAACGACTTGCTTTCCCTTGCTTTCCATCTGTGAGATCAGAGGCGGTAACTACTGCACAATTGGAGGTATAGGCTACAGTTTACTGTGCCTGAGGTAATTCCACAGATACAAGCTTTTATAGCTCGGCCTATTAAACGTCATCAGGATCAAGTGAACACTTTAACATGCTGCTTTTTAAACCCAAACTGGTTTAGTTGAGGTTGGCTGAGTTCTTTGAGCTGATTGGTGAGAGTGTGTTAACTGGGGCGTAAATGCAATTCAAAAACGAGTCCCCCGCTCTAACATTGGACACTGGGTAGAAAGTAAGAGAGAATACATGGTTGGCATTTGCCACAAATCCTGTGTAACCTGGGCAATGTCACTCAACATTTCTAAGCCTGTTTCCTCGTCCTTCAATTATACCGATTTCACAGGTTGTGGTACCAATCAAAATGACCTCATATTCCTGGAAAAGGCCTGAGGACTATGAAGCACAACGCAAATATTTACTTATTGTCATTGCCCTCAGTGAGTGATCTGTAGCTTTAAGAAGATGATAAAGGCGGAGGTACCTATTGATGCGCCTCAAGTCTAATAAGGAGAAAAGAGCTGAGGAGAACTCTGAAAAACTTGAATCTGGAGCTCTTCAAAATCCTTGTACTATTACTGTGTAATATTACTGTGTGATAATTGGCAATAATTTGCATTTAGCTAAAAAAACAGAACTTTGCTATATGAAGTTAAACATACTTAAAAAAAAAAAAACAACTCTATAATTTGTACATATAATTGTTTGGAACCACAGACATGAAAACAACAGGAATTAAATTGTTTTCAACTGAATGTTTTAGTAATATATAGACAAAGCCTCCATGTATAAGGGTCTAGGTAGAATTCTTTTTAATAGGATTAAAAAATTGAAGAGCACCAACAAATTGAACCATCAGGGGTGAATTTTACTCTGTGTTTTGTTTCGGATAGACAGACGAACGTCCTTCCTGTAATGTCAAAGAGTCAATGAAGGATTTTTAATTTTTGTATCTAGGGCACATAGCTCAGTTCCAAAAGGAAAAGCTTGGTAGTTTAATTAATTTGAAATGTTTCTATTCCTCAAAATCTATGTAAAGTCATCCGAACAGTAATTCTCACAGGATTTTCAAGTATCTCCACATCTCGTATACTCGGTGTGTGTAACTAACGTCTAACTAATATCGCTTGTGTTATTGGTGTTAACTGCTGTCAAGTCAGTTCTGATGCATAGTGACCCTGTAGCCCACGGGCAGGGAACTGCAGCCCGTGGGGCTGTATGTTGTTGTTGTTGTTGTTAAGTGCCGTGGAGTTGGTTCTGACTCATAGCGACCCTGCACAGGGTTTCTGAGGCTGTAAATCTTTACAGGAGCAGAAAGCCTCATCTTTCTCCCGCGGAACAGCTGCTAGTTTCCAACTGCTGACCTTGAGGTTCGCAGCCCAATCCATAACCACTACGCTACCAGAGCTCCTTGTGGGCCGTATAAGGCCCTCGAAATAATTTGGTTTGGCCCTGTCAATGGACTCATAGCGACCCTGTACAGGGTTTCTGGGGAACAGCTGGTGAATTTGAACCACCTACCTTGCGGTTCCTAAGGTCAGTGGTTCGAAACTACCAGCCGCTCCGCGGGAGAAAGATGAGGCTTTCTACTCCTGTAGAGATTTACACCCTCGGAAACCCTGTACAGGGTCGCTATGGGTCGGAACCGACTCGACGGCACTTAACAACAACAACAACAACCTTGCGGTTCAAACCAACCTTGAGGTCAAATGCTTATTCTACAGCGTCACACCAGGACTCCAGCCACCACAATATTGTTGTTGTTATGAAGTGCCATCGAGTCGGTTCCGACCCATAGCGACCCTGAATAGGGTTTCCGAGGAGCAGCTGGTGAGCTTGAACCACCGGCCGACCTTGCAGTTCAAACGGCTTTGCAGTCTGTGACATTAACCCACAGAGCCACACCAGGACTCCACCATCACATTAGGGGTGAGTTCATTAAATGTTTGATCAAATATAGAAGGCTAATTTTTAAGTTGATAATTTTATATGGCCCGCGAATGATGTTATAAATTTGGGCAGTAAAAAGTTTCCCCATCCCTGCTATAGAGGCTTTCTGAGGATCAGCTGCTGGGTTTGAACCACCAACATTGTGGTTGGCAGTCCAGTGCTTACCCTACCAGGACCATATGCGGCTCCAATACCAGTTGGGAACTTTTTAAAAAGTTATTATTGTGCATAGATTTGAAACAATGGAATTAGGAAATTTTTGATGTTGTTATAATAGCAATCTGGAACATTCAAAAAAAAAAAAAAAAAGAAGGGACCATAAATGATTGTGTTGCTTATACTGCATTTAGTTTTGTAAAAAAAGAAGGTGATTTTGCTTTGTCGCAGACTTGATTGCACTAACTGCTGGATTACTTGGGTGTTGTTTTGTTTTTCGTACCTCTGACCCAAACAGTAATTATACCTCAGGCCTATTGTCTGTACAGTTTCTGACTGGCTGGCGTATGAATTCCTTCTTAACATATATGTTCATCTGTAATGGAAACATTTATAGAAAGTTGGTCAGATCCCAACTCTCATTGCTCACCAACAGATACCATTGGTGTCAATCAGTTCAGCAGCAGTTCTTGCTGTCCTCATTATTCGCAGAGAAATCAGGACAAAGCACACTGGTGAACAAAAATAGACAGTGTTTCCTGCCTGCTTCCCTGGTCCTCCGTTTACCCCTATTAGGGATGTAGAGTGTGGGATGCTCCTTCTTCCTTCAATGGCATGCTTCGTCCCAAGATAAAAAAGCAAGCTGTGCCTTAGACACACGACCCGTGCTTCCATCCAAAGAAGGGCTTTCTAAAGAACTCTATTACGGGGTCTTCTGAGTTCTTGCTAAAAGCTGGAAACATGAAAAGTTTGACAAGGCGTATATTGACTTTTACAAAGCCCATACTACAATGGAAATGCTTGCTAGCTTAGCACAACTGACTTTTCTTGGCAGTTCTGCAGGTCAGTGGGGACGTCTAATGGTCTATCTGCTGAGTCATGTTTCCTACAGCCCCACTATTTTTTGATTGGGCAGCACCTAATATCTGACTGCTAAATCAGACTCTTTCACTTACTAAAACGTTGTCAACATTAATGTCACTAATCTAATTAGGGATTCAGAAGTATAAATCGATATTTGGAGATAAGGGGCTTTGTGTTGGTTGGTTGGTTGAAAGGTCAAATAAATGAGTTAAGTTAAATCTCATAGGAAATTATCCTCTGTCCTGCAGTTAAAAATAATTCCTGAGAAGGGTGTAAAAAAATGTTCAGCTGTGTGAACTGGCTAACTCCTAATTCCCTCTGCCTTAAATATGTTGAGAAGGAAGAGATACTCCTCTTAGCCCTGTCATAGCCACAGAGGAAGAGTGCTGGGTATAGGGACACCTGGGACCAAAATGGAGCCTTTGACAACATAGTTCTAAAATATTATTCTATACATATGTATTTATACAGAAAACACGGATAGGAGTTTATTGTTGACACCAAGCCTGGTGCCCAGAGAAAGGAGTAAAAGTATTTTAAATGGACTGTGTAATAACTGATAATAATTTGCATTTAGGTAACCAATACAACTAGACTTATAGCTTTTCTTTGCCCCAAATTCTCCTGGTTATGTATAGGATTTACAGCTCAAATCAGTCTGCAGCTGACCAAACATAATGCTGACCAGCGCAGTTTCAGTGTCAAAGTTACTATATCTGAAGGGTAAAAATTGTCTTATTGTCCCTGTTAATGAAAAGAAAACTACTTTCAGCTCAATATTTTTGTTTGCTCTTCTTCCCTCCCTCACCCCCACCCCCTGGCAATTTATAAAACAGAATCAGCAACACCACCAGTGAACAGTAAATTTTCTAGGAAGTTACACCCACGGCTTACAAGCCTACAAAGTTTTAAGTAGTCACTTTAAGTTAGTTATCAAGAAAATTTCCTTTAGAAAACCCAGTTGGCAGAGCTGGGTCCCTCTGCTTACCTGCTTTATTTATTTGTTCACTGCCTAAGGAAAGTCCCAAGCAGCCAGGTGGAAGAATACAAGACTTCTTGAAGGGTGGAAGGGATGCCCGGTGTCCTCTGAGCTGCGGTCTCAATTCTGATGCTTTTCATGTGGCTGAAATAGCTCGAGTGCTCTGTGCCTCACTGAGTATTGAGAGCTGCTCCCGGCTCGGGGCTGGAAAGGGATCTCAGTTTAAGGCTAAGTGTTAGAGAGAATTCCTGTCATAGCTCACAGTTGTTCTTCCTAAATATAGAGTTTGATACAAGCCATACACTGACTGCCTCCAAAAGGTTTGACCGTGCTGAAAGCAGGGCTCAAATGTCAGCCAGGAGGTGGCTACGGTAGCTCACTGCCCTCCTAATCTTTCAGAAGATGCGGGCTGCATTTTCTCACAGATTCCGAAGGGGCATAGTGAAGTTGGAAAAGTTTCTATCTTTAGATGTATTACCTGGAGGCCAGGAGATGAGAGAGTGTTCAATAAGAACTGGAGGAGGCAGCATGGTGTAGCGCTTCTCAGCAGGGACCTGGACAGCAGGCTGGGTTGGAATCCTCCTTTGGGAACTTAGCTGTTAAAGTTCTTTCAAAGAAGCAGTCAATAAAATGATCACCAGATGATGGTACTTATACATTACGTTGAATTCTATGACATTGCCTTTTTGGAGGTCAACAATGGTAGACACCGACAGATGCAGATGGTTCCAGGCTCCAGAGTCCATGCTCAAAACCTCTACTGCCTCTACTGGTAGCAATGGTTTGGTCTCCAAAGAACATGAGACAACAGAACAAAATAACACAAAGAGGTTCAGGTCAGAGGCAGAACACGTTTAAACAGTGTACTGCTAACTCCTAAGGCTTCAGCATGCTCACTATTCCTTTGTCCTGTGAATTCAGAAACTGCTTTTCTGGTTGTGGCAAAATAGATACAACAAAACATTTGCCATTTTAACCATTTCTAAGTGTGCAATTCAGTGACATTCATCACATTCATCATGGTATGATGAAACCAAACCCTTTGGGAATGGATAATGTCATCACCACTATCCCTTCCCAAGGGGCTTCACCACCCCACACAGAACTCAGTGCCCCTTCAACTGTAACCCCCCCTCCCCTTTCCGCCCCCAGCACCTGGAAACCACTAATAAACTTTTCTTTCTATGACATGCTGTTATTCTTAACACTACTTTCATTATTTTTTATTCTTTCTACTTCTTCAGTTTGTGAAATTACATTTACACACAACCTTAAAATTACCGTTATCACTTTATCAGTTTAAAGCCCCCATTAAAAAAAAAAAAAGCACACTTTAATGTGAGAAATTTAACAGAAGAAGCCCCTGGCACACCCCAACATATAACCGGATTGGTGAGTGCCAATAAACTGGCATAAGGCAGAAGAGGAGTCCATGTTTGTATAGGGAGAATAGAGATAGGAGAAGAAATTGGGAAAAGAAATGAAGAGTGTTAAAGTGAAGAATGGGGAGCTCTAGGGTGCTGAGCATGAAGGAAGCAGCTTGAGACTTTGAAGCATATTTCAGTGGGGCAGGATGGGGGCTTGTTGGCATACACAATAACCTCTGAAGCCATTTCTACCTGCATTCCTTCATCCTTTCTGCATTACAGTGAAACAGCCATATAATAGTTAATAACACTTTACTATATAGCCCTTGTTTGGAGTCTTGGTGTGGTGCTGTAGGATAAAAACTGGTAATTATAGCATTCCTATTATATAGATCTTGGTATGGCACTGTGGGTTAATGTGCCAGACTACAAAACTGTTTGAAATGCAAGGTCTGTGGTTCAAGCTCACCAGATGCTCCCTAGAAACCCTATACAGGGTCGCTATGAGTCAGAATTGACTCGACAGCACTTAACAACAACAAATTATATAGGTCAGCGGTTCAAACCTATAAGCTATTCCAAGGAAACTCTCGGAACCAACTCCATGGCACTTAACAACAACATATAGAACTTCTTTAGCACTATCATTTGTATTATTTTACAGTCTTCCCAATGACCCTGTGGGTTGTTGTTAGGTGCCATTGACTCACTGCCTATTCCTGTGCCATCCTCACAATTGTTCTGTTTGAGCCTACCGATGCCACCACTGTGTCAATTCATCTCGTTGGAGGTCTTCCTCTTTTTCGTTGACTCTCCACTTTACCAAGCATGGTGTCCTTTTCCTGCTGAAAACATGTGCAAAGTACAACAGTTCAAGTCTCACCATCCTCGCCTCTAAGGTGTATTCTAGTCTTTCTTCCTCCATGACAGATTTGTTCGTTCTTCTGGCAGTCCGTAGTACTTTCAATATTCTTCTCCAACACCACAATTCAAATGCATTGATTCTTCTACGGTCTTCTTCATTCACGGTGCAACATTCACATGCATATGAGGAGACTGAAAATAACATGCCGTGAGTGTGGCCCAGCTTAGTCATCAAAGTCGCATCTTTGCTCTTGAACATTTTAAGAGATCTTGTGCAGCAGATCTGCTTAATGCAAAATGTCACTTCATTCCATGAGTGCTGATTGTGAATGCAAGCAAAATGAAGTTTTTGACAACTTCAATTTTTTTCCATTTATCATTATGTTATTTATTGGTCCAGTTGTGAGGATTTTTGTTTTCTTTACACTGAGGTGCAATTCATACTAAAGGCTGTATGTAATCTTTGATCTTCATTAGTAACTATTGTTAAGTCCTCTTCACTTCCAGCAATCAAGGTTGTGTCATCTGCATATTGCAGATTCCACGTTTTTCTTCATATAATCCAGCTTCTTGGGTTATGTGCTCAGCATACAGATTGAGTACGTATGGTAAAGGGTACAGCCCTGGCGCACACCTTTCCTGATTTTAAACCATTCAGTATCCCTTTATTCAGTTCAAACAACTGTCTCTTGATCTATCTATGTACAGGCTCCTCATGAACACAATTAAATGTTCTGGAATATTTATTCTTTGCAATGTTATCCATAGTTTAAGATGATCCACACAGCCAGATGCCTTTACAGAATCAATAAAGCAAAATTAAATCTCTTTCCGATATTCTCTGCTTTTAGCCAAAATTCATCTGACATCAGCAGGGAATATCCCTATTTGCATGTCTTCTTTCGAATCCAGCTTGGATTTCTGGCAGCTCCCTCTTAATGTACTGCTGCAACTATTTTTGAATTATCTTCAGCAAATTTTTACTTGCATGTGGTATGAATGATACTGTTAGATGATTTCCGCTTTCCATTTGGATCATCTTTCTTTGGAATGGGCACAAATATGTCTCTTCCAACTGGTTTTCAAGTAGCTATCTTCCAAATTTCTAGGCATAGACAAGTGAGCTCCTCCAGCACTGCATCAGTTTATTGAAACATTTCCATTGGTATTCCATCGATTCCTGGAGCCTGGTTTTTCACCAATGCCTTCAGTGCAGCTTAGACTTCTTCCTTCAATATCATCAGTTCTTAATCATATGCTATCTCTTCAAATTGTTGAACATCAACCATTTCTTTTTAGGGCAGTGACTCTGCGTATTCCTTCCATCTTCTTTTGATGCGTCCTGCATCATTTAATATTTTGCCCATAGACTCCTTCAAGCAAGTAGAGGCTGGAATTTTTTCTTCAGTTCTTTCAGCTTCATAAATGCTGAGCATGTTCTTCCCTTTGGGTTATCTAACTCCAGGTCTTTAAACATTTTATTATACTTGACTTTGTCTTCTCAAACTTCCATTTGAAATTTTATGTTCAGCTCTTTTAGTCCCTCATTTCTTCAGGGAATTATTCCCATCACAGTAAGTCAGTAAGTCAAGGTTAAGAGTATTAATTCAGAAGCATTTGGCCTTAGTGTTTGACTCTCAAATTTGTGCTCTTTCTTGTTATACTACATTGAGTAAAAGGAAGTGCATACATGCACACACATAAGCATATGTATCTATGGTACCAGTTAGAATGTGTTTGTTTTTGTTTTTGTCTTTTTAAAGTTTTTATTGTGAATTGGGTGATAGTTTACATGGGAGATAATCAGCTTTACATTCATCCTATCTTATTTCATTTCAGTGCAACAATTACAATCCCCTCCATGCATCATCAAACAACCAAAGGCTACACCCTGCAAGGCTGCCCCCGGCATCAGCATAATGTGTTTGATTTTAAGAACAGACAGCATAACTGACTTAGAAGTACCTTAACCAATAATGTTATTTAATTACCTCACAAACCTAGAAATCTAGAGGGCGATAGGCCTAAGTTGGTTCAGAAATTCTAAGAAGGCAAAACAAACAAACAAACTAGGATCTTTCCAGTTTTCTGTTCTGCCACTCTCAAGTCAGTGTCCCATTGTCATGCTTACCTCATGTTCCCAAGATGGCTGCCACAGCTCCAAGAATCAGACTCTCTCATTAACATCAAAACAAGAAGGAAAGAAGGAACAGTACTGATGGTGGGAAAGGGAGGCTTTCCTTTTCTTAGCCAAATGACATTTCCTTGACAGGAACCGGGTCTCATGGATAGAAAGGAGGCTTAAAAAAATGTATAAATAACAGAGGGAGAACAGAGTAGAAATGATTAGCTAAGATCAAACAGTCTTTCAGCAACTAAGAAGAGAGAGAACAGCAGTTAGACAAAACATGCACATGAGACAGCAGCTTTACAGCGAAAACTGTGCTTTCACACACATGTTAAGCAGTTGTTTTTATTTGCAGTATTTCCATTTTATAAATAACAAACACACTGAAAAAAGCCCTCACATGCCTAGGAAATGAAACTCTAGTCTCAGTCTTCAGGCTCCGATTCCCATGTGTTTCCTCCTTTTCTTCTGCATACAAGTCAACAAAGAGAGCTGGGCTGCTCCAACATTGTCCTGCCCACCACAGGCCCTCATGGATAAGACTCTTATCCCAAAACTCAAAAGCCAAACACCACTGCCATCGAGTGGACTAGACTCACAGCGACCCTCTAGGACAGCAAAACTGCTCCATGTGATTTCCAAAGCTGTCAATTGTTAGGGAAGAAGACTGCCACATGGTTCTCCTGCCTATTAGCAGTCAAGCACATTAACCACTTCACCCCCACAGCTTATTAAGATGCTTATGCAAACAACCAAACCCAAACCCACGGCCAACAAGCTGATTCTGAGACTAAACCTCATCTTTCTCCCATGAAGCAGCTGGTGGGTATGAACCACTGATCTTGCAGTTAGCCACCCAATGTATAACTCACAGC